GCTGGAACCAGCTTCGATACCACCTGCACCAAATCAGATGACTAGGTGCCTACAGCATGCACACCCCGTCCTGACGCTCGTCTCGATCTCCTGGCAGTGCCCCAATCGTACCCGTTCTCCGCCATCTCCTCAAAGAGTTGATTCAGTTGTGGCGGTGTTTTGGTCAGCATGTTCCCGCCACAGACCGAATCAATCAGCTGCTTGTCCTCCGGGAAGAGGGCATGATAGAAGGTTCCCACCTTGAAAGCATCGTTGAAACCATGATTGGGACACCTCAGGAAGAGACTGTTGTATCTCTCCCAGGCGTCCCGGATGGTCTCATCTTCATCCTGGGTGAAGTGGGTGATCTGCTTCTGCAAGTCCGCCGTCTTCGACGAAGGATGGTAGCGGGTAAGGAACTTGTCCGCCAGGTTGGCGAACGTGGTGATGGAGCCCGGAGGTCGAGTGTCTAGCCACTCCTTGGCCTGCCCCTCCAGGGTGAATGGGAAGTACCTCAACTGGATGGCATCTGCTGGGACCCCATTAATCTTGATTCCATCAATGAGCTCGTGGAATCGCCTGAGATGTGATCGGGGGCACTCCCCCTCTTTTCCACGGAACATCACCGAACCGCGCAGCATGGTGATTACTGAGGTGCTCACCTCAAAATTATTGGCTGGGACATGAGGGTGTTGAATGGGTGACCTCATGTCTGCATCCCTGGCCGTCCAGTAATGTCCCATGGTCTGCTCCTCGGGATTGATCACATCATGGCCCTGTGGATCAGCCATCTCCTCTTCTTCAGTGATCTGTAGCGGTGCTAGTGCCTCCTCCGCAGCCAGTCGCGCCTTTAGAGCCCACTTGAAGTTTCTGCAGGTTCGTTCAAACTCCTGGTCTAGTGGTAGTAGATCTCCCGACTGGCTACGGGTCATGCACTACCTGCACACAATCAGCAGAAGCAACCCGTGAAGGCACACAGGTGGAAGAGATAAAATGCAGTAAATAAAAAGCTAGAGTAACAAATTCTCACGTTTCCCCAATAACCTAGAGGGTCCCCGGCAACGGCGTCAAAAACTTGATGCTCTAAAACACAACACCAATCTACGACCAAGTGTAATCGCAGACCGGGAATGCAGTAAAGTAGCAAGTTATATTATCAACCCGGGGTCTAGATCTACTGCTTACTCAGTGATTATCTATTATCTAGCCAACTAAAGTAAGTGATTGTTGTTTTAAAAGCAAAAGCAGAAAGAAAGCAGGAATTGATACGGATTTCTCAAGCAGGAAAGAGTCACTCGGGAATGAGTCCCCCTAGCTCCTTAGTTAGGTTCAATTGCAATTACCCTGGGTTGATTTACTGTTGATTAGACTGCGGAAGATCCGACAGTAGCTTGGAATCTCTTAAGCTGACCAAGCCCTCTCAGTCTAACTACCCGGCAGACGACTAGCCTTCACCGGGATAGAAAGCTGAAGCAGTAAGAACAGAACTCCACTACTGGAATTGGATTCCAGTACAAAGCAGTAAACTGGCTAACTCTCGTATAGCCAATCTCCTACTACCGAATGATGAGACTCTAGCAACCTAATCAGATTCTATCTATCTCAGATTGCAGCAGGAATTAGGAAAAGTTGATCAGACTTCAATTGACTCAATAAACATGCATCATTCGATTAAAATCAAACAGTAATATCATCCCAAGTCATTACAATCAATCCCCTAACACATAGAACTAGGGTTCTTCATCCCCAAGTGAGAGAGGGGTTCTACTCCATAGAGAGAGAGAAGAAAACAAGATACAAAGCAGTCATACTCATAATTATGGGAAGAATCTGCTCTGGGATGATGATTTCCACTCCTAGGACGATCTCCAAGCTTGATTTGGTGAAACCCAGCTCCAAGATGGCTTCTAGGGTGTGTTCTTCGTACTTTCTCTCTCTATGGCTCTGTTTTTGCTCAAAAAATCCGATTCTCTCTCTTGCAGCCCGAAATTGGGTTAAAACCAGGAAATCCCGACTCACACGGGCTGGGCCACACGGCCGTGTGGCATACCCAGTTGCCCGTGTGAGTCAAAACGATGCGTTCCACTTAATTCGATCTTCAGGCTTCTCACACGGCCAGGGTCGCACGGTCGTGTGAGCTTTCCATCTGCCTGTGTCTGCTCTCGCACAATCTCACACGGCCAGACCACTCCATCACACGGCCGTGTGGATATCAGGGCAGGCCGTGTTTGCTCTCGCACAATCTCACACGGCCAAAGTGGTCACTGGCACGGCCGTGTGAGTTGTGGGTGTGCCCGTGTGGCCTCCTTTTTGACTTGCCTCGCGCCCGATCTTTATCCAATCGACCCCAAACTCGCTCGCGAGCCTCCATTCACGTACTAGGACCTGAAATATCACAAACAAGCACAACCTAGCGTGAAATCGGCCTTAAACACGAGAAATCACATCTCAAACGGTGTAAGAACAGGGGTAAAAACATGTGCAATTAACGGTTTATCATGAACCCAACAAGTCCGTCGAGAGTAAATCCTGGCGAGACCAGCACTGCGGCTAACACTCGTGTTGAGCCGCCACCAGTTCACAATGTGGGTCCACAAAATATTCCGTAGGCTAGACCCTACGTGACCCCGATGAGCGGTGCTGGTGGTGGAGGAACGATCAACAATGATCATGTTTCGCCACACGGCTACCCACAAAACGTGCCTCCCCCTCCAAACGGGCTTGGCATGGATCCTGGTGGATTCGTACCATAAGGGGGCCAACTCGGGGGGCAAGACATTTATGTGATTCGAGATCAAGTAGCACAGATGCTGGCGGATCAGTTTGGTTTAGGGATTAGACCAGCGATGCCGCCAGTGTATCGAAAACCATATCCGCATTGGGTTGATAGATACTACCCCTTTCCACGTGGTTTTCGCGTGCCTAATTTCATCACCTTCAGCGGGACTGGGGATCAGTCCACCGTCGAGCATGTTGGACGATTCAGGGTTCAGTGTGGTGATGTGAGTGATTTCTTGAAGTTGCGTTTGTTTGGCAACTCGTTGACCGGCCCTGCATTCGCGTGGTACGTCAACTTGCCATCGAACTCGGTTCAAACTTGGCAGCAAATGGAACAAATGTTCCATGCCCAGTTCTACCGTTCTGAGCCAGAAGTAAAAATGGCAGACTTGGCACGAATGCGCCAACAGCCAGGAGAAACAGTGGAACACTTTTTAACAAACTTTAAAAATGCAAGAAATCGATGTTTTGTAAACTTGACAGAACGCGAGTTTGTTAAACTGGCCCAGGGTGGATTGAATTTTGAACTTCGTAAAAAGTTTCAAGATAGGGAGTTTTCTGATTTATTTCAATTGATGTCTTGCGCAGTTAGATACGAATCTCTTCTCCATGAAGAAGAACATAAGAGAAGTGGCTCTCGGGGACAATATTTCCCTAATTTTGAAAACTATGGTGTGAATAACGTCGGTAGCGATGTTGACGAGGTTGAAGTTGATTTGGCCGAGATTGTGCAGGGGAAGCCATATGTGTGTGCTTCTCTAGCCAAGGCCGAGGGGAAACCACAAGGTGGAAAGCCCAATCGTGCTCCGATTCAAACTAGAAAATATTCCTTCGATGTCTCAAAATCAGAATTGATTTTCGACCAGCTTTACAAAGATGGTCAAATTAAGTTGACTGGAGGGCATACTATCCCGCTAGCTGAAAAATTAAAAGGGAAACGATACTGTAAATGGCACAACAGTGCATCTCATTTAACTAACAGGTGTGTTGTGTTTCGCAATGTTGTGCAGGATGCAATTGAGAAAGGTCGGTTCAAGTTCCCAGAGCCGAGAAAGGAGGCCATGATTGTTGACACGGACTCGTTCGACAATTTTGAGTGATAGAAGTACCAAACTAAAGAAAAAAAATCTGATGCGGAAGATCAGACTTAGCCGCAACCACAGAGCATATTTTTTTCTTCAAGAGTGGTGGAAGGAAGAGAGGAAGAAGAATGGAGTGGTGTGAGTTTTGGTGGAATGGGAGAGGGTATTTATAGGTTCTGTGGGAGAGTGGATCGAGTTTACAAAAATCGAACTAGTGCTTCGATTTTGGGGAGCTCGATCCGCGTCAAAAGCAGTTCGTGGTTAGGCGCATCGAACGACCCAGATCGAGGTTAGGGTAATAAATCAACGGTAGTTCGAGTCTAACAGTAGCGATCCGCGTCAAATTGATCGATTGAAGGGGACTCGATCTACTGCATTAGGTTTCACCCCACTCGATCCGCGTCATCCCTGCTTCACGGATTTGGCAATCGAACGGCCTAGATCAATTTTAGAGTACTCGATTGACGGTAGTGCGCGCCTGAAGTCATCGATCCGCGTCAATCAGATCGATTAAAGCTGACTCGATCCACCTACTTCGAGTTTACCACACTCGATCCGGGTCATCACTGCTTCGCTGGTTGAGCAATAGAACGGCCTTGATCGCTTCCCGGTACATCGATCTAGGGTAGAGCGCTGCACAGGTCATCGATCCATGTCTTGCTGTTCGAGTTTCCCATCCTCGATGCATGTGGATCGATTTTTTGGCTGTCGATCCGGTACTAGTTCGAGTTTGGTGAACTCGAACTGTGTCAAACTTTGGTAGTTTGGGAATTTTTTTAAAAAGTTATGTATTTTGGGAATTATTTTTAATTATTACTGTATTTAGGGAATTAATCCTTGAATGCTCTGGGATCGAGGATTTGCGAACTTGGAGATGCTTTTGTACTCTAAAGTGACGGCGCCTAGAAATTGAGGCCTATGCTATAAGACATACCACAGTTTATAAAAAGCATCATTGAATTATCCGTACAACAAGTGGATCCTTGGCGCAATGGTAGCGCGTCTGACTCCAGATCAGAAGGTTGCGTGTTCGATTCACGTAGGGTTCAATTCCCCTTTTTTTTTTATTTCTACCTATCTAATCTTTTCCTCTTTTTATTACAAAGAGACCCACAATTCCCAACATTTTGCACATATACATCCCCGATCACCCAGCGCAAATATGTCTTTTTGATCCCCTTACTTTCCTCAATGCATATCCTCATTCCTCTCCCTGTCACCCAGCTGCCCGCTATCTCCAAAGCCGCAGCCTCCGAGGTTTTTGCGGAGAATTGCAGTAAGAAAAATGGCGCTCCACCAAATCACAGCCCTCAATTCGTCCCCATTCGCCCTTCATTTCGCTCCAACTTGCAGTCCGTATCTTCAACGCCAGCGACGGCCGCAGCTCCGGTTCTGCGTCGTCGCCTGCGTCTTAGACGGCGAAAACCAAACCGCCCCAGAGGAAACCTTCGCCGGACGCCGATAAAGCAAGAGGCTGAGGAGCTGGTTCGCTCCATGGTGAGGAGCTTCACCGAGAAGGAGCCTCTCTCAAGTACGTGAGACTCGTCAGCACTCAATCCTGCTTCTTGCTGTTCGAAGAGCTCGGCAGGAAAGGCAAATGGCTCCAGTGTCTCGAGGTTCGTGAGAAATTCGCTCTTTCCTTCGCCGATTTGCTACGGCGGATTCGCCTTGGATTTGATGAGATAACGCTTCCAGCGAGCTAATTCGGTAGAATTTGTTCTAGGGTTGGAAGAATCTCAATTTGCAAATGGAATGAGTTGAACTAAAGTAGATTGGGTAGGTTGAAGTTACTCATGAGTCCATACATTCAGGTGTTCAGGTGAATGCAGAAACAGAGATGGTTTATAGCCGATAATGGTGTCTACTCCAAGCTGATATCTGTAATGGGAAAACACGGCCAAATCAGGATGGCAATGTGGCTCTTCTCAGAGATGCGCAACAACCGCTGTCGCCCCAATACTTCGTTCTAAAATTCACTGATTTCAGCGCAGCTCCATTCGAGGGACAAAGCCAAAGCTTTGGCAAAGGCACTCGGCTACTTCGAGAGGATGAAAGGTTTGGAGAGGCGTCAGCCGAATGTGGTGACTGGTGACCTACAACATCCTCTTGCGAGCTTTTGCTCAAGCTCCAGAGGTGGATCAAGTCAATGCATTGTTGAAAGATCTTGAGAACGGGAATGTTTCGCCTGATGTTTATACGTATAATGGCGTCATGGATGCATACGAGAAGAGCGGGATGATTTTGGAGATGGAATCCCTGCTTGCGTTGATGAGGAGCAATCGGTGTAAGCCTGATATTGTAACCTTCAATCTTCTGATCGATTCGTACCGCAGGAAGCAGTAGTTTGCTAAGATGGAGCAGGTTTCCAAGAGCTTGTTGAATCATCCCAAGGAGAACCCGACTCTCCCGACTTTCAACTCAATGATCACGAACTACGGGAAAGAGAGACAGAGGGAAAGAGCAGAGTCTGTGTTCGAGAAGATACTGTTGAGATGAAGCACACGCCGAACTTCATCACCTATGAGAGTCTAATCATGATTGATAGAGCCGGGGAATTGGGTTCTATCTGGGGATTGGGATTGGAGATGATCAATTAGGGATTGATCTCTTGTGTCACATAAAGTGGGGAAGGATGGGAATTTGGTGGGACGAGAAGAAGAGGGAATGGGGAGGGATTGATTTGGGACAAGAGAAGAAGAAGGGAAGGGAAAAGAAGTGCTGTTGTGCAGCCGAAGAAGGGAATGGGAAAAGAGAGTGGGACGGCAGAGAGAGGAAGGGAATCTAGTATTAGGTTTTAGGTTTAATCTTTGCTTAATCCCTTAATTCCACGTACAAGTAGTTTATATAATGAAAAAGTTAATTCTCTATTGCTACCCGATTATTCCCCCAATTTTCGAATAATCCAATAATCCGAATAAAAATAATAAAAAGACAATAAAGTACTAAAATGCAAGTTCTCATCATCCCCCCTTTCTTCGAAAAGCAACCTTGTCTCCAAGGTTGTTCCTCCCGCTCACTGACTCTCCTCTTCGCCATTTCCGACGTCCTCAACGGCATCCTCGGCTTCGTCTTCCCAGCGTCCGACGAGCATCATCAGGTCCGGCTTCGGGCATTGATGGCCAATGGTGAATCGACCATCGCAGTTGAAGCACTTACCCTCCCACCTCTTTTGTTCAATCTCGGCCGACGAGAGTCGCACTAACCCTTTAGGTATGGCCCGCAGCCCCACTCTGGCCACTGGTGTCGCATTCCCACCCCCGGTATTAGCTCCGGAGGCATTGCCCGCCGCTGGGCCACCCTTGCTGCCGCCAGCCCCACCGCTGCCACCAGCTCCACTGCTCCCACCCCCTCCGCTTGGCCTCGGGTAATGGCCAATGGTGCTCCTCCAACTGGCTAGTTCTTCCTCCTTGTGACCTGCAAGACGAAAAACAACCTTCAGAGAATCCGACTCAAACACTCTAACGGTTGCCGCTATCTCGGGCTTGAGGCACGCCATGCACAACCCACCAGTGTCTCCTTGGGCACTCCCCTGCACGGGTTACCCAGTTTAAAGAACTCAGTGCGATAGTCGGCCACCGTGCCGGTCTGTTTTAGCTTCGCGAGCTGCTCTGGTGCCCACCCTTCTGATTTCCCGAACTGATACCTGAGCTCCTCCTGAAATATGGGTCAGGTGATCAAGGTCTCCACTGCCGCGTAGGATCTCTTCATCCATTCCCACCACTCCAAGTAGAAGGATGTTAGGTAAGCTTTCCTCTCTTCTGGAATCGAGTGGTTTTTAAACCACCGCTCAGCTGCATACAACCAAAGACTTGCGTCCTCTTGCCCATTGAATCTTGGGAACTCAATGGTGGGAGGCTTAGCTCGGAAGACTATGCCATCAGTTCCCTCATAAGTAGGGTAGTACGAACCATACCTGTCCTCACCCGGTGTTTTCCATGGCTTCCCGTGCGAGAATCGCTGCCCTGGGTTCGAGTACCCAGGTCCGTAGCACCCCTGATAGCCGCCCTGTTGGTCTTGGTACCATCCCGGGGCTTCTGGCGCTCCATATGGCCCTCTCCAGCACGCGGACCCCTTGCTGTCCGCTCTACCCCGCGGCTGGTGAGTTGGGTTGGGTCGATGCGAAGTTCGACCCACCTCGGGTCGACCCGAATTGGTCCAGCCAGACCAAGTTCGACCCACTCCAGTCCGACCTGGTTCGGTCCGCTCACCTTCGGTTCGACCCGGCTCAATCCGCCCACCTTCAGTTCGACCCAGCTCGGTCGTCCGCCTACAAGTCAACCTGGTTCGGTCCGCCAGTACCGGTCAGCACCAAAGGAGCGACCCCATCCGACCTGTTGGGTCAGCCGCCCAGCCCGGTCCGCCACTCCTCTCGGCCATGACTGGGTCGGCCCATCGGTCCACCAAGCTCAGCCCGTCATCTTGGCCTCATCATCGAGGCCCAGCCATCCAACCCCATTGCCATCCCTCGCAACTCGCCCACCCATCTCCGGCCCATCAATCGTTGGAGGCCCATCGGTGTCGTAGCCAGGCATATTGGCCTTAGCCTTGCGGGCCGCCAGCTCTTGGGTCGTGGAGGTAGCTAACAGGTCCACTTCGATGTTGGGCCCAGACGAGCCAAACCCAGGCCGAGGCACCTTGGTCGCTGACGCAGCGATGCCCCCCGCCAACGCGGAGCCCCGCGACCAGCGCCGAACCTGGGCCGCCGTCGTCACTCTGCGGGTCCGCCTTACTCGGCGGTTGCCCCTGTCGATGCATCACAAACTCCTTTAGCTCGACAATCGCCTTCCAAACCTCATACGAGTCCGCCTGACGAGCTTCCTGGTTTTGAATAGCCCGCCAAATCTCCTGAGAATCTGCCCGACGAGCTTCCAGATCCTGCGCCATCGCCTTCTGCGAGATCAGCACCTTCTTCAAGATGGTGCGAAGGTCCTCTTCTTCCGTCAGGTCCTCCACAACGCCCTCTTGGTGTCAGTTGCTGGCCGCCGATGGTGGTAGCCTTGGTTCCGCCGCCTTGGGTGGCGCAGTGGTGGCCTTGGTTGGTTTCGGCGGTACAGTCGCCGCAGTCACCATCTCTTCTCCATCACCAGCCTGACTTGCAGCTCCTCCCACGACCGTCTTCTCCTGCGCGGCTTGGGCAGCCTTCTCAGCAGCCGTCATTGATTTCGTCAGCACCATCTTGTTCGTCGGCCCTTGATCAAGAACGAGGCTCTGATACCAGATGATAGAGCCTAGAGAATTGGGTTCTATCTAGAGATTGGGATTGGGGGTGATCAATTAGGGATTGATATCTTGTGTCACAAAAAGTGGGGGAAGGATGGGAATTTGGTGGGACGAGAAGAAGACGAGGGAATGGTGAGGAATTAATTTGGGACAAGAAAAGAAGAAGGGAAGGGAAAAGGAGTGTTGCTGTGCAACCGAAGAAGGGAAGGGGAAAAAAGAGTGGGACGGTAGAGAGAGGAAGAGAGTGGAAGGGAATCTAGTATTAGGTTTTAGGTTTAATCTTTGCTTAATCCCTTAATTCCACGTACAAGTAGTTTATATAAAAAAAATCTAATTCCCTACTGCTACCCGATTATTTCCCCAATTCCCGAATAGTCCAATAATCCAAATAAAAATAATAAAACGACAATAAAGTACTAAAATGCAAGTTTTCATCAACAATGTACAGCCTTTTGTGATTCCATGTTTAATGCTCGGGAGATATTCGATTTGATGGTTGGATCAGTGAAGGAGATTAAGGTTTCAACATTGAATGTAATGCTCAGTGTTTACTGCATGAATAAGTTGCATAGTGAAGCACAATTGCTTGTCGAGACTGTACGCGGGGGTCGGGGTGAGACTTGGATTCTTCAACGTACAAGCTTCTTTACAAGGCAGACACTAAAGCTAATCAGAAAGAGCTCGTGGAGAGATTGCCGAAGCGGATTGAGAAAGATGGTATTGTTCCGAATAAGAACTTATTTTTAGATGCTCTGGGTAGTTTCCAAGTCTTCTCCAGACGATTCGGAGTCTAATATGAGATACATAAATTCGCAGAATGCTACGAAGAGCCTGAAGACAGCAATAGGACCGTACTTTAGCAAACTTGCTTCAATCCCAAGCAAAGCCTTTCACCCACAGAAGGAGGAGAACAAAGAGTCCAAAGAAGTTGATGTTGTGTTTTAGGAGATGGACATCAAACTGCAACGCTAGAGTCAAGTTCTCTAGCTAGATGTTACTTGCTTCTGAAGCTATCAACACCGACATTTGAAATGAAAGGGTTGGTGTTATACAGGTGAAGATTGATGATTAAGAGCGGGCAAGCTGACAGCAAACTCGAGGCAATTGGAGTGATTGTAGTAGCAGGTGCTCGCGAGCTTTCATTGCTTTATACAGTGGCGAAGTAGGATTTTGTTGTTGTAGTAGAGCAAAATGTTATTTCTGTACATACCGTTAGTAGTCAAAAAGAGTAAAGGAAATACCACATTGTGAAAGAACCCTCTTGTTATGGATTCTAGATACTGATCTTTGGCACCCGTAACTGCTCGTAACAATTAGGGATATAGGGTTGAGAGAAAGGATCAGGGATTTAGATGGGAAGAACCGAATAGAATTGGGAATCGGCCGAGGACTTGGATTAGGAGAGAATAGAAATTAGGAGTTTAGAGGAATTAGGTTTAGAAGGGTACTTTGCTTAATACTATTATTGATTGATTATGACGTAAACCCAAAGTACATATTTATAGGAAATAAAACCAAAACCCTAATCAACTAATCCTAACCTAATCGGCCTACCCTAGCCGCCTTACCCTACTAATAAGCCTAACACTATTAATTATTATTATGTATGTATCTAACATTCCACCCTCCTTGAAAGCGACCTTGTCCACAAGGTTGCAGTTAACTTCCGACTTCTTGATCTTCCGCTTTCTACGCTTCCAATTTCGCTCCATCTTATGACCGAACCTCGTTCCAACAACTTTGACTTTCTTCGACTCTTCTTCCGCCACGTGGCACCTATGTCCCAACCCATAGCTAAACAATTCTTCTTACTTTTCGAATTACACGATATAAGAATCGGAGAATTGTTCTACCTTGTGCTCTAGCTTGAGGTCTTCAAAGAAATACTCCCTAAATTCCTTCATGGACTAGGGGGTGAAGATTGGGCTCCATTCTTCTCCAAGTTGGGTTGAATTAAGCTTTATTGAAATCCCAACTTTTAACCCAAGGAGCCCATTACTCTCCTTCTTTATCTTTTTTTCCTGCAAAATAAATCCAACAAGATAGCCCATTGATGGCCCAAATCTCCCATGATAATCCGGCCTATCTTGTTGAGCTAGCCAGTCTAAAATGAGCCTAGCTAGCTCCTTATCACTTCCCAGCCTGTTATCAGAACAGTCCACTCCTCTTAGCCCGTGAGAACAACTGACCCTTTTCTTGTTCAGCCCACACATAATCTATGTCTCATCCCACTTCTTTCTTAGTTGCGGCACACGAATTGGCTTAAGTTGCTGGGTCATATGGCTCAAAACGAGCCGAACAAACTTCTTCTCACAGACTTGCATATGACCCAGATCGATGGACCCATCCGGCGGGTCAGCCCAGTCCGAGACGAGCCCAATGCTCTCCAAACCTACCTCTGGCCTATATCGACTTGTGGCCCGACCCGCACGGCCTAGAGTTAGCCCGCCTCCATCCTTGGCTGAGTGAGGGAGAGAGCCGCCACTCTCCTTTGTCTCCTTTCCTGCCACTCCTTTTCCCGACGGTGGCCACGCTCCGGCAACACTAGGCATCTCCGTCTCCGACAGCGGCCGGGGAAACTCACCGCCGCCCCACTCCTCCTCCTTCTTCTTCTTCTTCTCCGGTGGCGGTCTACTAACACGACCACCACAGTGCCAGCTCACTTCTGCCTTCCTCCTCTCGGCGGTGGACGGCCAGGCTGGCGGCGACACCCCTTTTTTCCGACTGCGCCCGCTTCGCCTTCTTCTCCGGCGATGAGCTCGACAGGGGGCTAGGAGGGAGGTCCGATCCAGCCCTTCTCTTCTCCGAACTATTTACGCTGTCGATCGTCGATTCAGAGGGAAGAGAGAAGTCGGTACGTCCTCTCTCCGTCTTCCGCTCTGGCTTTGCTGGGATGGCCGTCGAACACGATTTCCCCAGCGAGATTGGCGCCAACGACGAATAACTACGACCAACCTGACCTGCTTATCGCTTCAGCTTCAAATGCGGCGCAAGAGGGACTCATCGGCCCGCTCGCGGCCTCACGTGCGCAATCAACCCCGACGAACCAATCGGCGATGAACCCCAACAATTCCACTCCATAATCCCTATCTCCAGCGTCGAGTAGATCTTCGAACTCCTGGTCTGCACCTCGACAGTCACGGTGATTGGCGATTTGTCATTTGGATCGCTGGGTTCTCCGGTTTGCTCTGCCACGACTGATGTCCTCACCTCCGGGCTTGGGAGTGGCGAGAGAACAGGTAGACACTGTTTTTCTTCGGCAGGCCTCAACCTTTCTTCAGGAACCGCCAGTTTGCCATGTGATTTGGCGTTGTTCTTATCTCAACGCCTCCTGCCTGTGGTTCTTCTACAGAGGCGATTGCTCTCTCATTGTTGAAGGCAACAATAGAAGCAACAAGGCCACCATCTTCTTCAATCGCAGCCTCGATTGCAAACTCAGCAATCATGTTTCGCTCCTTGGTCCTCGTCGTGGCAGCTGTTGGTGGCTTTGGAACTTCTTTCGTGACCCGCGGCTCCACCGCCAAGGGCTCCTTGACTTTCGTCTTCGTCTCGACAGGTGGGGAAACAACTGGCGATGATTACGATGTGGTAGGAAGGGCGACTGTGGCTACCTTCTCGGCCACCACAGTTGGCTCCTTCGACGCGGCGGATGTGGCTTTGAGTGGAGCAGCCCGCGCAAGGTTCCCGGACAGCGAGGAGGTAACCTCGTTCCTCCTCACCTCCTCCAGCTTCGACTGCAAAAGTTTTGACAGCCAGGAGGTAACCTCGTTCCCCCTCACCTCCTCCAGCTTCGACTTCAAAAGCTTTGTGAGTTCTTTGACGGAGAGCTCGTCGAATTTTGACATGGCTCCGGTACGAGTGCCTGCAACCGGGCTCTGATACCACTGAAAGAACCCTCTTGTTATGGGTTCTAGAGACTGATCTTCGGCACCCGTAATTGCTCGTAACAATTAGGGATTTAGGGTTGAGAGAAAGGATTAGGGATTTAGATGGGAAGAACCGAATAGAATTGAGAATCGGCCAAGGCCTTGGATTAGGAGAGAATAGAAATTAGGAGTTGAGAGGAATTAGGTTTAGAAAGGTACTTTGCTTAATACTATTCTTGATTGATTATGACGTAAACCCAAAATACATATTTATAGGAAATAAAACCAAAATCCTAATAAACTAATCCTAACCCAATCGGCCTACCCTAGCCGCCTAACCCTACTAATAAGCCTAACACTATTAATTATTATATATATATATATATATCTAACACATTGGTGGGAGAAGGAAAGTGCAAGTGGTTTTTAACTTTGCTTTCCACTTTAGTTATTGGATGTAGTGGTTATTGGGCTTTTGGAAAATGTGTGGTCTATTTTACTTAAATCTTATAAGAGACGTTGGTCAGAAGATTGAGTTTCAACGTTCATCTTCTACTCCTCGACAGAAGTCACGAAAGGTGCTGATTTTTTACTTTGATTGGAGGGACTCCTAGGGTGGTTTGCCTAAATCCTACCAGCAACAACGTAGTAACGGCAAATAACACTCTAAGTAGAGTGATTAAAATTACGCCTTCAATCTCTTCCCTACCATTTTCCTGACACATACTTGTAGAACTTGCACATTTGAATCGTCAAACAAACTATATGGAATAAGTTAAGGTGGCTGTAGCTCTCCAC